CGTCCCATCGCTGCCCTCGCTCTCCCCAGCTCGCGGAGCCAGTCGGCAGCAGTCACCCCGTCCTCCACCACCTCTTCTACCCGAGCCACCCCCGCCCCTTCCGCTCCAGCAGCTGCCTCGGTGACCAGCCCCAGCCCCGCACCCAGTTCAGGTAATGGAACCAGCACGGCAGCCAGCCCAACCCAGCCCATCCAGCTGAGCGACCTTCAGAGCATTCTAGCTACTATGAACGTGCCGGCAGGGCCAGGAGGCGGCCAGCAAGGTAACACGTGCTCCTCGGGTCCAGGCTGGGGGGTGAAGGTGCCTGCCGCCCCCTGCCTGCTCGCTTGCTGGCTTTCCGAGGCGTGGGGCCGAGCGGGTCCCCGGGCTGAGCCGCTGCCCCCCTCACCTTGCCACACCCGCCAATTTCGCGGCTTGGGCGTCCGCGGCTGGCTTCCTACGTGGGTGTCTGTGTCGGCCTCGAGCCGCTGACGGCCCTGCGCTTATGTCTTAGTTGACCTGGCCAGTGTTCTGACGCCCGAGATCATGGCCCCTATCCTCGCCAACGCGGACGTCCAGGAGCGCCTCTTGCCCTACCTGCCCTCTGGGGAGTCACTGCCACAGACGGCAGAGGAGATCCAGAACACGCTGACCTCGCCCCAGTTCCAGCAGGTAGACGCTGTGGCCTGGGTGCCCCTGCCATGTGCTCGGTGGAAGGGGGCACAGCTCACCGAGCTTCAGCGTGGCTCCCGGTCACGGAGCGTCCCCGCCCCCCTCCCGGGCTTTCACCAATAGCGTGTGCTCAGGGGGCGTCTGGCTTTCTTTCGCAGGCCCTGGGCATGTTCAGTGCAGCCCTGGCCTCTGGGCAGCTGGGCCCCCTCATGTGCCAGTTTGGCCTGCCTGCAGAGGCCGTGGAGGCGGCCAACAAAGGCGGTAAGTGCCCGCGCCCCCACCCTGCGCCCAGGGCAGGGTTTGTTTTTCTCCTTGTAGTTTGCACGGCACAGGGCTGACCGGCTGGGCCCTGGAGGTTCTGTGGCCCTGGGCCTTGGTGTTGATGTTTTCATCTCCTGTGCCCTCCAGTTAGCAGTCTCAGGCCGGGGTCTAGGAAGGGTGCCTCACGTTTTTAAATGTATTTTAGATGTGGAAGCATTTGCCAAAGCCATGCAGAACAGTGCCAGATCCGAGCAGGAGGGCGACGGGAAGGACAAGAAGGACGAAGAGGAGGACATGAGCTTAGATTAATCATCCGCTGTCCCCAAGGGGTCGGGATTCGCGGCCGGCGGCCTCTGCGATGGCGCCTGTGGCGCCGAGCGCGCCCTCACCTCCGTTCCGCTTGCTGAGAAATAAAGGTCTTGTCTTTTACCTGCCACCTCTGGTCTTCCCGTGTGCCCAGGAGGGAGCCAGGCTGAGCGCTACCCCTCCAGCCCTGGCAGTTCTGACTCGGGGGGTGGGGGGACAGCCACTCCAGGCGAGGGGAGCCCCCGGGCCGGCGCTGCCCCCGTGAGCACATCCGGAGGCTAGATTGCCTCTGACTGGTTTTCTCCTTTCACAATTAAAGTCAACGCTCCGTTAAACAGAAATAGTAACTTTTTAATTTCAGAAGCAGGGCAGATTTCTCCCGTTACTAAAAATTGGTGGAGGAAAATCTCAACGAAACTGAAAGATAAAACGTATTAAAAACCCCAGTTTACAGAATTTTATCCTTTTGTTTAAAGAGATATAACTTAAAGCCATTTCCAGAAAGAAGATTCATCACCCCTAGAGCCTAGAATCCAGACACAGACTTTGAAACAGCAGGGGGCAGGGCCTGCGGGCTCCGAGGTGAGAGCCCGCCTGCCTGGGGCGGCCCTCCCGTGGACTCCAGGCCCGGGCCCCTGAAGAATGTCCTGCACGGCCACTGGAGGGGCAGCCGCGCTAGGTGGTGGGGCAGCCGCTGGCCCCCACTGCCCCCTGAACACCCACAGAGCGAGGCCAGGTGACGGGGGACCGGTTCACCACCAGGTTCCTCATGCAGCCATGGTAGGCCAGAGGCCCAGCCTGTGTGTTCGTGGGCCCTGGGGGCACAAAGGAAGATGGACAGGTTGGAACAGAGGCCAATGTCCCACCAGCAGCGCCCCCTCCCCCGAAACCTGTCTCCCCGGCTGCCCCATCCCAGAAGGTGGGGTGGAAGCGGGGGGATCCCAGCACCTGGTCCTTCAGAGGCCGCTCCCACCCCCAGGCAGAGGCCACACTCACCGGGCAGGCCGCCAAGGTGCAGAGGGGCCAGGGCGTCCCCTGAGGCCACTGCCACCGTGGGGCCTCGGGTGCCGTTGGTCTGTGTGTCCACCGTCAGCCGGAGGGTATTCCCACCTTTGGTCACTGCGGGCACAGGGTCCTTGTAACTGGGCTGGGAGGGGCCCAGGCTGTTTGCCCAGGGGGTCCCACTGGGGGTCCGCGGCTGCCCCTCCTGGGCACTCCCCCAAGCACAAAGGCGCGGGGTGGGAGCTCGGCCGTGGGGGGGGGGGGGG